CAAATCCAAAAAATTTCCTTATTTTTAACCACACATTCTCCATCAAAATACTATTGCAAAATATATTTTCATCAAAAAATAAAAAAAGGGTGCAAACAGGTCTCAAATCAATTTTAATTTTAACAAAACAAATTATTTGAACACGTTGATCGTTAATTTGTGAAATGTCGAGACTAATTATAGGATAATTAATATAATTAACTAGCATGGATTTGTATATACTTTGACTTAGTAATATAAAAAGTCAAAAAAAAAAAAATATATTATTGTAATAGTATTTTATTGTTCATGAGCGTATTTATTTATTTGTATCCGATTCGATCTTTGTTGAACCTTTTGACCCTTGAACTTTTAACATTTTCGGGTCGATGCTCGAATCGATTTTTCAAAACATTGCAAAAAAACTGTGGAATTCTGTGCAGAAATTTATGCTTCTCTCACCCTTTTCTGAAAAAAGTAAAGTACATTAGAGAAACTTTAAATTATCAACTTATATCAATTTTCTTTTTTTAATAAAAAAAAAACCTGTATTAATAGAAAAATATCAACTACCAAAAACTGACTCGTTGGTTAGTAAATGGGTCCAAGCAGGCAGCCTAGAACCGAAACTATGGCTGGACAAAACTTTTGAATCGAACTAGACTGAATCGAACTGAGCAGTTCTTCTTAAATTAAATACCCGAACGAATATCTAAATACCTAAAACGGAAACTAGGGTTGGACAAAACTCTCGAATCGAACCAGACTGAACCGAACAATTCTTTTTAAATTAAATACAAGAACCAACAGGTTCGGTTCGATTCTAAACCTAGAACCGAAGAACATATCTCTCTAATTTTTTTTTAATTTTTTTATCTTAAATAAATCAAATTATTTTCTTTTTTTCCAAATGAATTTGCTAATCAATTAATTTAGCTCAAACCTAAAATAAGATTTTATTATTTTCGATTTTCAGCCAAGTCCAACTTAATCAAATGGACCTAAATTTTACCCAAATTTCTTATTCTATCGTAGCATCATTTATGATGTTCTATTATTGTGAACTAGTTATCTTCCACTTCTTATGATTTTAACAGTCATATCTATGAAAAACTCAACAAAAAAATGTGTAAAAGATATCACCAGATTGGACTACGTTATTTTGTAAGAGTTAAGATTAAACATGTTATAGTCGAATTAATGTAGAGTTGTTGTAAATATAAAAAAAAAAAAATTAATTATTGTACGAAACCGAACCTGAACGTTTCCATAATTAAATTTGGACCAAACGGTTCCACTTACTAAATACCCGAAAATTTCAATTCGATTGGGTTCAGAACTGGACTATGTCCAGCCCTAACAGAATAAACTAGATTGAAAATTAAAGGGAAAGATGAATTAGCGTACCTGTGAACAAGAAAATAATGGTTAATGAAGACAGAAGACGGCATTCATTTTCATTAACCATTATTACAAACTGCTGAATCATCTAATATAATGTAAAACAAATAGAGGAGGAAATAAAATACCTGTGAACAAGAAAATGAAAGCAAAATTATCTGAGAAGAAAGTTGGTTACTTGCCTCACATTTATTGGAAGAATTTGTTCCTGTTATTATATCAAAAGGCTGTTCTAGCCAACTTCCAAGAGACAGGATAAGAGAACATTTATAGGACTATATATCTGAAAGAATAATAATATCTAGCATTAATGGTGCCATAACACTAGTCTAAGTGGCCACACTTGAGAGGTTCGATTAAATGAATTATATAACATTACATTTAATTGAATCTCTCATTTAATGCATGCAATCGCCATCTAGACTGGTGTTTAATACTAGTGGTACTGAATAGCATTACTCTATCCAAAAAGATCCACTCTCAGCCATTCAACATGCAACCTAGCAAAGAGGTGGTTTACTGAAGTGGATTCTCTCTTTTGTCATTGATACACCCTTCGTCGTTCATTC